TAAAAATATGAATATAAAATCACAAAACCAAGGAAAAATAGGAAATTAAAAATGCACAAAATCAATGGAAAAATTCTACATGCAAAATACAAAGCCCGAGTAAACAATAAAAAATAAAAATGCATAAAACCCAGTACACAATAAGAAATTAAAAATGCACAAAAGAAAGGGAAAATCAATTTTAGACACATACAATTTTAAAGTTTAATTATTTGTTACTGTTTCATAATGTTACTAACTCAAATTATTAGTTGTATTATTCAAAAATGCTCACATATCTTAAATTTAATATTAATATTCTCGCATTTTAGCATTTTTGATTTATTTATTTAAGTTAAATAAGCAAATAAACTCAGCTTTATGGCAAAACTTTAAAGAATTTATAAATTCAAATATCTTTGATTTTACCACCATTTGACTTTCATTTCACCGATTTTAATGAACATTGATTCCTTCTATAAAGCTTTCCTGCTCTTCCTTAACTTCAATATCGAAACGTTGCTTCTTTCTACCAATTTATCCGTCCAATACTCCCTACTTACTTATTCCGATGTTGTTTTTCCTTTCAGCTGCAACAGCTGCCACATTTTGTTACCTTTTTTTCAGCTGCTGCTGTTGCTGTTGACGTTTATGCAAATTGTGTTGTTATTTTTTGTGTGTCAACCGAAAATAAAAACACAAGAGCAAAAATCAGAGAAATCTGGAAAAAGCCTCCATTCGGACCTCCTTCGAATCGATAAATGCAAATTCGTGCAACCGAAACCTGGATCCTTTTGTCCAAGAACTTTGACTACTACGGATTTTGCTTACATCTAATTTAATTTTTGAATTACGAATTTAAATTGAGGACTGCTGCAGAGGAGAGTTTGTGGAGGACATCTAAATCCTTCGGCCACTGCTCCATTTACATGGCAGGCAAACTTTATCCTGTCCCCCGGTTGCGTAACTCGAAAGTAATTAAATTGAAACAGAGTGCAAAATGCATACAAAAGCCGGAAACTCCATGAAGTGGGGGGGAGGTGCTGATGAGGGGCGTGGCATATGCTCATGTTTATAAGGGACACTGAGGGAAAAAAGGAGGAGAAAGTCATGGAATTATAAAGCTTAAGATCTATTTAAAATAAGCAAGGAAACTAACTTCGGAAAGGCGAAGTTGAAATACCTTTGCAGTTTACAATTGAACTAAAGGATAAGATCGATAAAGATTAGGATCTATATTTATCGATAATTTTATAAGTATGACAATTTTTTGATCAAATCAAAGTTCCCAAAAACTCATAACTAGGCCAAAAAAACATTAATTTTAAATCGGAAAGCTTTCCCATGTTAGTTTTTGTTAGGTTAATAAATCTTTTGACTAAAATTATAATACCAAGTTTGGTCAATATTTGTTAATATTTTATATGACAATTTTTCAGCAAATTAAAGTTTAAAAAAATCATATCTTAACCATTAAAGCATTAATTTCAATTCGGAAAACTGTCCTGTGTTAGTTTTTGTTAGGTTAATAAAACTGCATACTTAATTTATAATTTAAAAAAATTCAATTTTTGTCAATTTTTTTCTGACAATTTAACACTTATAAAATGTTGAAAAAATTAAAAAAAAAAGTTCCTGCCTGAGTTGGCTAGATCGATTCGGCTTTTGATGCTGATCAAGAATATATATGGTCTATAGGGTCGGAAATGAGTCCTTTATGATTTGCAAGCTTCTGAATGAAATTCAAATACCCTGTAAAGTTATAAAAATAAATTTACATTTATACGTTAAAGAACGATGTTGAAAATGTATATTCTTTAATGATTGATATAATTTTAATTATTTATAATATTTGTTCAATTTATTAACACAATTAGCCAAGCAATGCTTTAGAACTGCAATAAACTGAATATAATATTTTGAATTATTTATTTAGGATGTGTATTTTGATATTTTTTGCCATATAATTAATATTGAAAATATCATATCATAGAAGGACTTTTCCTATTTCTTTTATAGCCTTGCGTGAGAGTCTTCAAATAATTTTTTAAAAATATTTAAAATACAATTAATGATTCCTAAACCCAATCTATTTTGATTTTTTCTCTGTGTGTATTGCGTGTGGGATTTGCCATGGCAAAAGTCAAGTGTGTTCCCAACACAAAAGTGTTGAAAATACCGAGGGGAGGGAAATGAGTTGTGCAAAGCAACAACTGGCAGCATGTTGACAGCACACAGGACCCCCTTTGCACCCAACCCGGCACAACCCATTGGGCCGGCACAAAGTTATAGTTATGATGATTGTTGATTTAGAGTTTTTAGTTTTTAGGTTTGCCAGATGGGCCAAGGAGGGATTTGTGTAGCGTGCAATTAATTTTGTAGCCCCCAACTTCAAAGGAGCTGAAAGGAGCCGACGCCGTCGCTGCCGCCGCCCGTGGACAGATGATGATGATGACAACAACTCGGCAGCTCCATCAATGGGGGCCTTTGAAGCGATGGTCTCCCCCATGGATCACCATGGATCCCCATGGGGAGAGGGAGGGAGAGATACAGACCCCGTGACAGCAGTGCTAATAGGGGAGTTTGGGGAAGATGGTGAGAGAACGGGGAAGCCCCTGTGACGACCAAAACCAATTCGAACTCTTTCTGTTCCCATGGCCGTAACCCGAGACCTCGGAATGTCACAAATTCTTGTCGTACGCTGAGGAAATGATTTGAAATGGTTAATTATAGGAGTTTGATAATTTAAAAATATTTGTTTGAATATTTATTATTTATTTATAATTTATATGAGGTAATGTTGCATACAATCTTTTTTTTGCAAGATATTCTTATTTAAAGCAGCATCTCCAGGCGATCCAATTTAGATTATATTAAGATTTTGTATTATATCATAAATACTTTAAAATGTTTCTAATAGTTATTAACAATCTGGTTAAAGTTTGTCAAGGAAATTTATATAACTGGAGCAATTATAGGGAATATATAATACTAATTTTAAATTGATTATTATTATTTCATAACCAGAACCATAGAAATTTATAAAAATCAGGTGTATAGAGAGTAATAAAGATAAAGGAACAGAAAAGCTCTTTTAAAATACATTTAAAAAATCTTAAAAATCAAAATATAATACTTAAGTATTAGTAAAAATTTTTAGCAAATAGTTGCATATATATTCTGATTTTTCCCAGTGCATTTCATCTCTTCTCTACCTCCACTGTAGCTCCCCTTGTGGTCGCCTGCACTGGCCGCCTGTCAATGCGAGAAGTCTTCACTTGACTCCGCGGCTCTTGCTGCGGTTGACATTCGCCACGATGGCTGTCATGCCTATGGCCTCCACTGGAGTTGGCCCCCAACTCCTCTGGATTTTTCCCATTGGTCATTCGCCGACTCCATGGATAAAGCCCTGTGACAAGTGTGGCTTTGATGGGAGACCAAATCGAACTATAGCTTTTGGCAGAAGAGGAACAACATTGATGGGGATGACAGAGATCGGTTTAGAAGGGGTTGAGATATGAATCCAAAGAGAGAGATTAATTGTATATATTTTTGGTACTATAATTTCAAATGTACTCTATGAAAACCATTAATTATTAAAGCTAATATATCTGTGAACCCAAAACAAATTACACAAAAAATTCTCCTAAAATTAAATCAAAGTCTAAGCTGATTTTTATGCAGAACATGCTCAACCCAAATTAGCTGCTCCCCTGAGAGCTTTGAAAAGATTGCGGTTGCTCAGGGAACCCTGTCTTTTGGCAAGAAAATATGGAAATTCCATCGCGCGTCATGTCACTTGTGGTTTACATATCAAATTTCCAATGTCTAACCAAAGATATGTGGGATTAAAAAAAAAAGAAAAATAAGAGGAAAGCCATACCTTCAGCTATATATAGATATATTCCTTTTTGCAGCTCTTATTTTATCTTTACCTCTGGCATATGTGCATAATTACACTTTTATTAACAGGCTGGCTGGCTGGAGGGAAGCCAAGTGAAAAACTGCCACCCACAAGGCACACAAAAACCACCCACTCGATTTTCACAATTTCTCTTTGTCTACGTGTGCGGACTGCTGAATGCAAACAGGTGAGTTTGCAGCAAAAACTGGCATCCTTGCATCCTGCAGAGACTCACTCTCTCCCTCTCTCTGGCACATCCTCACATCCTTACGGCCTTTGGCATCAGCATCCATGGCACATCCTCAGAGACACTTGAGCTGCACTCGGCTTAAATGAAGTGCACACGCCGCCATGCACATCAAAGCCTGCCGCCATTAGCCAGATGCAGTGAACTAATTAGACACGCCCACATGCCCCTTGGCCCCTTACCTGGGAAAACTATTACAAAACGCCATTAACTGGTCTTTGTAAACTAAAAGAATTTTAAATTTGTCATAATTCAAGGAGTGTTTAAATAAGGGATATAAAAGGAATCAGTTAATATTTCTCTTTGTAATAAGAAGATAATTAATTAAGGATTATATGGTTTATATGTTTTAATAACTTGTTAAGGTTACAAAGCTCTTTATATATACCAGAAATATTTATAATACAACTTCTTTTGATTATTTAATAATTTTTATTTCAACATTTCGTACATGGCTTTATAAAATATTCTTAATCTAAGATACTCATCAACACAAACTAACCCGAATCAAAAACTAATTAGTTTTCGCACTATAAAAAAAGTAACTCCCCCGTACCTTCTCCTCGTGATGTCTGCTTAAAACCCATAATTAACATTTATTTGATCAATAATTATATGCATTTTTGAGCTGATTTCTTGCAGTTGAACTGCAATTATTGTTTATGGATTTCTTCAGCTTAACTTTGTCTTTTTAGTTAGTATCATACGAAAGTAGTTATTCAGTCTTTGAATTGAAATATTAATTGGAAAAAGGATGGTGACAAAGGGCATCGAATTTAATATCATCAGAAACATACAATTAATTGCAAAAATACATACCGAAATAGGTTTAAATAAACTTTCCTGTCTCGCAAGAAAAAACCAAAGACATTAAAAAAATTATGTACAATTTATAAGGTATATAACTTATGCAAATAAAAAACCACAAAAACTTTACACAATTGTTAACAAATAAACTCACGCTTAACACTAGACGATATTTCGCTTCAGGCCTTGGGACGGTGAGTTTCCAAAATCCCTTTCATTCCCGAAGTAATATATATAGTTTAAGGTTTCCTATGGAAATATATATGTATATATCGTTATGGGAACCTTCGTTCTGTGTTATTTCTATTGTGATGTCTTCCGATCGCTTGAGTATAATCGCTGCTGATTCACATACAGCTGCAGCGGCGGCACCTGGCCGAGCAATGGAATCGGTGGTGGGGGTGGAGTCAGGTCCAGTGGCGTTGTAGACGCTGACGAAGGGCTGGTGGCTGAGCTCATGCTCGAAGTGCTGGAGCGATTCGACAAAGATTGTGCCGAACGCGTTCTTCGCAGAGTCTCTGAACCCTTGGGTGGCTTGCAGCTGCCCTGCTCTCCATAGCTATGAACACGGCCCACCACTTTGAGGTTCGTCCTGTAGGGTGGATGATCCTGCGCTGCCTGATTGTAATAGGATTTCCTTAGAATACAACAAATTGCCAAGAAGGGAATCGCTAGAATTCCACAGAAACCCAAGGAAATGATAAGCAGCACATCCACGCCTTCGGCTCGCCAAAAGTTCAAAGTATTGGCATGGGATTTAAGGAAATCTGCTCCTCCAGAATCCAAAATCAACTGAATCTTTCGCACAGCCTTGTTGCTGGCCCAGCGGAATTCTTGCTTATCAAACGCTCCCTCAGTTGACTCATTTTCTCCACATAGCTAGTGTTAAGCGTGAGCTGCCTGATTCCATGGAGCATGGCATCATAGGCTATGGCATCATAGTTAACTGTCAGCGATACACCGTGTTGCATCAGTCTCTGGGCCATCACCTCCTGCTCGGCCAGTATGGGTATGGCAAGTATTGGCTTTTGACCGGCTATAGATTCCCAGACGCTCAACTGCCCACAGCTACTGATGAACATCTTCACCTGCTCATGTCGTAGAATCGCCTGCTGTGGCCACCAGTCTGCAATCATTACGTTCTCGGGTAGAGTAAGCTCCGAAGGAAACTCCTCAGTTTCCCATTTTAAAAGGAAATGGAACTCGGTTAGGTGGCCAAATACATCAAGCAGGATGGATAGCTTTTCTGGCGGCAATTGAGCTGTCTGGACATCGGCACCCAGACTAAAGTAGATAACACCACTGGTAGCAGTTTCCATGAAGGACAGCAAGTGCTGAAATAAATAGGGATGTTAGACAGAGGCTATAAATATATAAAAACCACTTACATTTGGCAATTGAAGTCCATTCGAAGGCGTTAAATGCAAGCCACCCACTTCCACCATATTGGGCAGATAGGCCCTGGGATAATGCAAACCCGGATGGGAGTTAATCAAGGCCAAGCTTAGATTCTTGGTTAGATCTCTGTACAGCGGCAATTCCTTAACGAGAAGCTCAAAATGATTGGTGTACACCGATTGCTGGGAGATCAGGTGGAAAAAGTTGTAGGTCAGCCGTTCGAAGGTGCTCATCAGGGAGTTAACAATCCTCTGCTTGGTGTTCATTCTCTCGTGAAGGGTAAAAAGTTGCTAGGATCCAGAGATGAGGACTGGGGATTGCCAAACATATTGTTTAGCCAGGAATTGGCGCCGGTGGGACTGATAGCAACGGTGGGTATGCCATAGTAAAAGGCCAAGCTGAAGATTATTATGAATATATTAAGTTAATTCAGTTTAAACTAGATAATTCTCTTAACTCACCCTAGCAGAGCATCGCTCAGGAATAGGTCCACTATGAGTAAATCGAATCTTTCGCCGCTGGTCAGAAGTTTCCTCACCTGACCATCGGACAGCAAGATGTCCACATTGGTGGTGCCCGCATAGATTAGTCTGGTGAAGCGTTCCATCACGCTCTGTGCCCGCATCTCCTCCGCCTGGAAACTCATGCCCATGTCCAGCCAATTCTGATGCAGACCCTCGATTCGCAGCTCTCTAATCCGTGGGATTTCCGACTCTTCCACGGCATGTGGACTGATCAAGGTCACAGAGTGATTTCCGGGACGACTCTCTACCAGTTCTTGCAGCAAACTCCGTCCGAAGAGATAATGAGATTTCCATACACTGGGAAAAACAGCCAGTATATTGGCGCCTAGGGTGAAGCCGCAAAGCAACGACGCCAGCAATAGCCACAGGAGATGCATTCTGTATGCAGGAACAAATTCCGCACTAACATTGGCATCCGCATCCGCATCCGCATCTACATTTACTGTATCTGCATTCGGCGTTCGTATCTGTGAGGTTTTTGCTTTTCCGGTTTTGCAAAAATACACAAAATCACACGCACACAAACACTCTAACAAACACGCGTAGCACAACACACAAGGAGCCCGCTTTGGGCGTATATTATTATCTGCTGGCTTTACTTATAGTTATTCCACCGATTTTCATCATTTTGCGGGCCACGAAACAATGGCAAAATTTTACAGGCGATAATTAAAACATTAAAATTGGTAAATAAAAGCAACTAGGGTTGTTGGAAATATCAAAATATCGATAAGTCGATACTTCGATGTTTTTCTCAAAATATATATTTATATCGTGATATTTTGTTTGCCGAAATATCGATATTTAAAATAAGTAAAAAGTTACAAAAGATTCTAAAGATATTTAATTTATAGCAGTTGCCAATAACTTTATTCACGTAGCGTCATTTAATTTAAGATTTTATACAGAAAATTAAAGCTATTATTAAAATTTGAACTAATAACTTGTAACGTACTGTGCTTTAAGGTACTTGTGGTATTTTCCTCCTATCTGAGCAACGGTCACACTGTCTCATCTCGCTGGTAAACAATTTGAAAATTTGCATTTTACATTAGTTGCTAAATCATCCGCGCAAATTGTTCAACAAAAGAAGTGTTAAATTGAATAATTGCACGGGCTGCCAGCGGATTAACCACACAAGATAAAGAATAAATCACAACATAAGACGAGAGCAGACAGACAAACAAACCGATTTTGCAATTTGGCACAGAGCCAAAGAGAGGGAAAAAAACAACATTAAAACAAGAACAAAAGGTGAAATATTTAACCGCAGAAAATACACGCGAAAAAGTGAAAAGAACAGCTGGCCCGGCTCAGGTGGTGTGTGGCTGCAATTAAATTAGTTTTTTATGTTAAAGCGACCCTAAGTACACAGCTACAAAGAAAGATACTAACAACAACAACAACAACAACAATCAGTGGATAAACCGGCAACAGCTGAACTTATAGCCAGTACACCAAACGGACTTACGTAAGCCGCTCGCAATTGCAAACGATTAAAAAAAAACAAGAGTCCAAAAATGGCGCAAGTAGTATCCAGTAAGTATTTGTTATTTATCTTGTGTCCCAATAAAGTGCAATTAAAGTTACATACTTGAAGAATCTTAAACGCTTGAATGGCTTATATTTGCCAAGTATTTTCTTTTTAAAGTATAATTTGTTTTATAAATAACAACTGTAAATAATTCACCATTTTATAATTTCAAATATGTTCATATTTTAGTAACCGCTTTTATTTTAAATATTCGATTTTATAGCATACTTTGAGAGAACTTTCCCATTTGGAATAGACGTTATCTTTAAACACACTTTCTTCAACAAGAACATAATCAATTTTTAATTATAACAATTATAAATATTAAAAAATTAAGTCATAAATACATTTAAATTACCTAATTGGAACTTATTTCATGAATATATTTTGATTGCTTCCTCATACAAATTATGATATAAATTTCTATTATAAAGTATTAAAATTAAAATTAATATTAAACCTTTTTTCCTAATCACAGCCCTCATCGATGTGGATAAACCCCTCTTCGACCTCAGCACCTTTGCTGGTCGCTTCCAGTACTTCGCCTGGATGACGGATCCACGAACCGTGATCGTCTCCAGCGATCGCCTGCTGGAAGCCAAGACCATGATCGAAAAATACCGGAAGGGAGATCAATCACCGATGGTTAAGCCGGAAGAAGTTCATTACAACATGAAGCTATATAATTCCGCATTTCATCCGGATACCGGCGAACTTCAGAATTTCTGTGGACGTATGAGCTTTCAGGCAAGTCTCGTGATGGTTTTACGGCACGTGGGCTGATCCCTAAAATAGAGAAACATCGTGTGGCGTGGACGTTGTGAATGAATGGGTTGCCAAGAAAAAATATATAAAGAAAGGAAAACATAAAGAAAAACATAGAGGCACGTATTTAACACTAGACTGCAAAGTATTTCAATAGCAATGCCTTAATGCTTATCTTTTAAAATTGTTATAATGTGTAATAAAGTTTAGTTAAGATAGGAGGAAGCTTCCCCAAGGTTACAATGGTTTACAAGGTTTATAAGGGTTCTAAAAACTGAACTAGAGATTATATTAATACAAACTATTGTTAGAACTAATTAGAATGAATTATTCTAAGACTCAAACTCAGTTTCCTAAGCTTAAATTATATTCCTCTTATCTTTCTGCTAATGGTTTGTTAATTAATGATACCTTTTCACTAATTGTCTTTGTGTTTCTTAGGTTCCCGGTGGCATGTTGATCACCGGCGGCATGCTGGCCTTCTACAGAACCGTCCCAGCCGTGGTTCTCTGGCAGTTCATCAATCAATCCTTCAATGCTGTGGTCAATTATACAAATCGCAATGCCAATTCACCTACCAGCGTTACGCAGCTGGGCGTGGCTTATGTCTCGGCCACAACGTCTGCTTTAATAGCTGCCATTGGATGCAAGAACTATTGGTCCAGGAAGGCGAGTCCATTGTTCCAAAGATTTGTACCCTTTGCTGCTGTGGCGGCAGCCAATTTTGTCAACATTCCGCTGATGCGTCAAAATGAGATACTCAATGGTATAGAAGTAAAAAATACAGACGGACAGATTGTGGGACAGAGTCGATTGGCTGCCATTAAGGGTATAGGTGAGGTAATTGTATCTAGGATTTTAATGGCAGCACCTGGTATGTTGGTGCTCCCTTTGATCATGGAAAGACTAGAGAAACTGCCGCCTACAGGCGCATCAAATGGATAAATGCTCCCTTCCAGACCCTAATGGTTGGCTGCTTGTAAGTTGACTCACAAGAACACTTTGTCTGATTATTAATTAATACATAAATCCTTTACAGCCTCTGCTTTATGGTGCCCACAGCCTGTGCTTTATTCCCACAGCAATGCTCCCTGGACACATCCACCATGCGCACTTTTGAACCGGAATTGTATGAGGAAATGGAAAAGAAAACGCAAGGCAATGTTCCTAAGCGCGTCTACTTCAACAAGGGTCTGTAAGAAGTAGGAATTTGGTGAAAGACAATAATCTGTTTAGTCGTTGTCATCGTGTTTGTCTTGTAGAGCATTTATTGTATCCAAATCGCGCAATATTTGCCAGCTTTTGTTCCTTTGTCTTATGTGTCAATTGTTGTAGTTAAGTTATGCTGAAAAGGAATCTCAAATCTATGGAAAATTTTAATATGCAAGGACTGGTCCAGGTTTTACGAAGATGTTTTTAATTCAAATTCAATCGTAAGATGTTTAAATAGGTTAAAAGTGAATGTTTTTAGCAAAAGTATCAAGAATATAGTCCTGCGTTTTGTATTAGTTTAAGAAATTATTGTTTAACAACATTGAAGGTATACGAATCTGATTTAATCGTTCCTACGGCCGCTATATAATATTTATTACCATCTTTCAAAAATGTTTTTAAACGAAAACTAGCTTCTAAAACAAAAGAATTTCCATTTAAGTAATTTCTTTATTTAAAAACAATCTTAATCCTTTGAAATTTAAACCTGGAACTTGATCAAATTGTTTAATATTTAGCCAATTAACTTGTCATGTACTTAGAGCTTATAATAATTTGTGAATGTCCTAAAATGTGTTCAAAAATTCTGATATTTCCAAAAATTGTTGGTGAAGGTATTAAGAACAAATATTATGATCGGTGTTTACTCATCTAATTAATTATTAAACAGATTTTTAAACAGAAAATTGGTACAAATGCCCAAAGATATAATATAGGTTCTAAGCCTCAAAGATCAAGTTATAAATTGAAAAGCTAATTTGCAGTAAAAATGCTTTTTGTATAACCATTTAGATTACTAACTGGCTCATGTTTTTGATAGTTTTTATTTTTAGAACTTTGTTTACTCACATGTTGGAAATAAATGTTTAAAAAGAGAATACACCAATTGTTTATGGGTTTTAAAAACGGTTTTATTAGTTATGTATGTTCTGGTATCCTGTATAAGTATATATAGTATATATATATATCATTATACATAACGTTTTGCGGGGCTTTCGTTTATTTAGATATTCGGTTTTTCATTTCATCGTGTTGTAAAGTTTACAAAATGTGCAAAACACAACTAGGTAGCTATAGATTATTACCATTTCGTCCTTTTAAACATTGTCACACTTCCCTTCATTATTGTTTGGTTGAAGTGCAAGGTGCTCAGTGCTACCAACGCGCGCCATAGAATAAGTTTTCATTTGGACATTTTTTCGGTTTTTTTTAAGGTACAATTTCGATTTTCATTAAATGTAAGTTAGTTTTTTTAGTTAGTTTCTTTTACTTGGCACTGGCGCTAAAAAATTCTTATTATCTCGTGTGCTAAACATTGATGGGGAATAAATTCAACACTCAGATGGTACAATGTATGTAAAAATTGTTGCTTTTGAGAAAAAACGAGAAAAACAAATTCAATCAACAAATATTTCCCCCACATACATATATTTTTTTTAAAAGGAGGCAAAAGTTGTCGATTTCGTGGCATTTCGCTTGTAAAAATTGGTTTGTTCTTGTGGCTGCTTTTAAATATTGGAATTTGTCACATGATCATCAGCAAACATTTATTTATTTATATTTTTAATACATTTCTCATTGGTTTTTTCTCCTTAATTTATCGAATATTAAGTGGCAAAACTTTCAATACACAATTATTTACGGAATATTCTTTTTTTTGCAATGCCGCTTCAAAAGTTAGTAATTGTAAGTGTGTGTATTCATATTTAATTTATTTTATACTGACTGAGGCTTTTTCAACATTATTAAATTGGCATTTTGTAACTTGCTTAATGCATAAGTTTTTCTCCTTTTTTGCATTTTTATTTTGTTTGGTTTCTGGCGCTTAGCTGGGAAAGCTCGTTCAAAATCGTAGGGGGGTTTTCCACTTTTGCAAAAAATCTTATTGGCTAACAAGCTTCCTTTTTGAACAGGAACTTCAATCCGTTTAATTAGCTGCCTAATCGCGAAAATTCATTTCAATCATTTTCCACAAACAAAAAATTCAAGACAAAACTCCAGCGAAAAACAGGGAGATCTTTGGGTTCTCCCATAATTCGCAATCCTTCGCACAAGCATTGGACTTATTTCCTGAGCTTTAAAATTTAGAATATTCTGACCTTAAAACACTTACCACAATCATTGGCATTTATCTTAGCCATAGTTTTCCATTTCTTTGCCAAATCGAATCAGTCAAGCTTTAGCTGGAAGGAAATCCTAGCCTGAGGGCCAAAAGAATTTGTTTTGGCCTTCATTAAAAATCCAAACTAATCCATCTTTCCATTTCATATCAAATTCTGTTTCAACTCGGGGATTTTTCCTCTACATTTTATATAAATATTATTTTTATATTTGCGCACAGCCTTATTTTTTCCAAAAAGTTTCTGGGTTTTATATATTAGTTTTTTTTTTGTGTTCTTCATATATAAACCATTTATTTTTTCAGATTTTTGCATTCATTTTTGTTTTTTATTATTACTGTTGTTAAACTTCACCTGATAAATTTTGTACCAACATTGCCCGACTGGAAAACAGCTGACATACAACTTGATTTATTTTTTATATCCATTAAATAACAAATTATCCCTTTTATCCTTTGCCTTTCGTTCCTGCTCTGTTCCAGCATCTTTAACATTTTATTTTTTATTTTATTTGGTAGAAAATATGTTCCATCATAAAATCCATTTACTTTTACCTCTAAATGTGGTCTTTTTGCAGTTTATTTCTTTGCCAAGACCGCCCCTTTTAAAAACCATAAAAAAGTTTTTTGCTCTTGGCAAATTGCATGGAGTTCAGGTTTCATTTTCTTTTTTTGTGTTGTGCAAAATATGTTTGTATTTTTATTTTCTTGTTTTTTAGTTTCGTTTTCATTTTTCAATTTTAAAAATTCTTCGATATTCGGTTTTTAGTTTCGTTTTACACTTATATATGACTTGGCATTCAGTAGTTGTATTTATATAAAGGGAATTCCGGGGATTTCCTCTTTCCCTAACAACAAGTTTTACATTTATAAACGATTTTCGAGTTGTTTTAGTAAAAATTACAACTAAAAATAAAACTATATATATATATATGTGTGTGTTTTTTTTATGCCTAGATAAAAACTGTTTAAAGTTTTCAATTATATTTTTATTTCTTTCTTTCGGCTTTCTCATATATATATATATATTCTCTTGACTTGGCTTATGAATAAATACATACAAACATGTACATTGTGGTGTATATATATATAAATATATTTTATATATTTTGTTGTAGTTTCTTGTTTCTGTTTTTTGTAGTTGCAGTTTGTAGTTTGTGGATAACATTGGATTTTGTTTTTGCATTATTAGACCTTAAAATCGTACATAAACATTAATTTATTTATTATGCATTAATTAATATTATATATATATATATATTTCCTTCAAACTCGTTGAATCTTTAGTTGGGAATTGTAAGTTCCGGCCAGGTTCCAAGTATTGAAGCGGCTCATATGTATGGGTTTTTATTATTTTTTTGGGGTTTTCTTTAAGGAAAAAGCTTTGCTATTTAGACCGCCGCCTCGTCACCATCGTAGTCATCCTCCTCCTCGGCCATCTCCTGATCCCGATGCTGCTGCTGCTGTTGCACCACCTCAACCACGGAAACCGCCTCCGCTGTGGTCGTTGTCGATGTGGATGAACTGGTGGTGCTGGCCGGCGACATATTATCCGGATTAACGGCCAGCGAGATGGGCGGCGGTGATGTGGCCACAGCGGCTGCTACCAACATCTCCTGACTTGGTGGCAGCACAAAACTCTTTCCGCCCATCTGATCTCATTTGAGACCCGTGTCCGAGGATGGGGTCCAACGATCGAATTCGATTCCCGAATCGGGCGAAACACCGGTGGCCTTGGCCAAATGGGCGGCCATAAAGCCACCGGTTTGCATGCATTTGCAATCCGGCGCAATGCAATTGCAAGAGAACTTGGAGCCACGACCGCAACGGGAGGCCACCACACTGGGATTCGTGGTGAGGACATTCGAAACGGAGCCTGCAGGTGATGCCGACGAACCCAGACCCATGCCCAGGCCTAGACCTTGGCCAACGACAGTGGTGCTCATCAGTACTCCGGACTCGTCCATTGCCTGTCCATCGCCCGGACTCAATCGCAGTTGACTTTCGAAGGACTGCAGCTGTTGCATAAAGTGGAAGTTGGGCGATACATCCGGTTTCCGGTCGCGAACCATCATGAAGGCGTCATTGAGACTCAGTCCCCGGGTGTGCATCAAGTAGGCAAGCGTCACGGTAACCGAGCGCGACACCCCGGCCAGGCAGTGGACCAGCACCGCCGAGTTCGCGGACCGCGCTTCCTCTGTGAATTTGAATAGAAAAGGCATAACATTAGAGATTTTAGTTGATAAAATATCATGATGTCATAAAGGTAAAGCATCATATTCTATGACTCGAGAGAGTCATCATAAAAAACAATACAGGAAAAATGTTTATTCCAGTTGCAAGGTCGAAAGTACCATTAAAATCATGTATCCTTTGTATTATTTATATTTAATTTTTATTTAAAATATGAATTTAATTAATTTATGTGTTTTTATTTGTTTTTTTAGGAATGCCAGAGTAATATTTGTGGATTTGAAGTCATTTAAAAAGGTTTAAAAATATATGGAATGAATAGATATAGTCTAAATTAAGCAGAAAAGGCCCAATATGATACATATATCGACAAAAATTATCATAACGTTTGATTTATCGAATTTTAAATATCATTAAATATTGCATGCATCGTTAAAACCCCGATATTTTCATATAGGTTTCAGAAAAGTTATTTACTTTATTAGTTATTTTTAATTCTATTTCAACATGTATAAGAAATGAAATTGGTCTTATTTATCAATAAAAAATCGATTAATTGCACATATCGGTTATATTAAGATATCGATTTCGCTTTAATTATCAATCAATATCGAAATATAAATATTTTCTATCAATTTAAATACAAACTCATTGAAAATTTTATGTTTTTAATGGAGAATTAAATTTTGCAGCATATTTTAGTTCACAATTTAATTTAATTTATTAATTATGGCACCCTTGTAAATGTTTTACCCTAATTTATTGCTATTGTAATTAAATTTATACCCAAACCTACCTATAAACTGTATGGCATCTGGGAAATGCATGGCCAAATCCTGTGAATAATGATCGGTAATTGGAATTTGCAGATACTTGATAATGCCCAATTTCTCGAATTCATTTGGCAAATCCGGTGTCACATTCAGCACATACTAAAAGAAGAATTAAGACCCATAATTAATATATATTAATTAATTTTAAAGCAACCTGAAGCTCACCTTAATGTTGTACCTTTGCAATGCATTCGAGTCGCAGCTGTGCGAGGCATTTCCCAGGAACAAAAGTCCTGGAATTATTTCCACCGGCGCCTCATTGAAATTATGATGATGATGGTGATGATGATGATGATGTCCAGTGCTCTCGCAGTCCGATGATTCGGCCGAACTGCTGCACGCGGAATCGGAATGCGGTGTGGAAATGCGTAGGGATCTAAAGGGAAAACATAATTACATATATAGTATATATTATATATATGAGTATATAATAAACTTACCTAAGACCCATCAACTGATCGGTCTGTACATTGCGACTAGATTCCATTTCTTTGTTGTGCGCTTGGCTATCATCCTCGCACCATTCCGGGAACGCTTGGCGAAAACTGGAGAAGCCATCTGAAAGATACATACAGAAAGGGAAATGGAAACTTTAGAATGCTTTTTTAAACACTTTTGGACGCTCTGTGTCATTTGAGGCGCCTCTGGAATTTGCCGTTCGTTATGCTCGGCCAAGTGTAGCCCTTTCTTTGGTAACACGACAACATGCTAACGTTTTCTCCACGCTATTAGCCCAAAACCCCAAGCCAAGTATGCGTGAAAATTCTTTGCAAGCGAAACTCATTCATAAAAAAGAAAAGCAAGAAGTGAGTTCTTATTTTCTTCAATTGGAAACGGAAGTGCGACTTGGCGTATCAACGGAAATGCTGTTTCTATATTTATAAGCTTGAGAATAACATGGAAATTGTCATCCCTGCTCATCAGCATAACGCAAAACGGAAGCATACAATTTTCTACTTGACGTACAATAAAATGTGCAAACAAAAAAAGCATAAAGCAAATTAAATAAAGCAACAAAAGGTTGAATGTTATCAACAAAGTTTATTGGTCAGCCGGCCGGCCAACGGGTGGTATACGCAATAACTCTACCACTCCACTTCCACTCTCAATCTCAATCTCTGTGCACTTCCAGTTGAACTTTATAAATAAACCAAGATATGGCCACAGGGATGTGGAAAAAGCCAGTAGGAGGTGTAAGGGGTCTTTTGCTATTTTTACCAGAAGCAGAAGCAGCCATGGCCATGGATATCAATCCGCACAGAGAGTATGACATGGCAAACTGCATTTGATAGCAATTTCCTCTTTCTCAAACAAAACTCAGTTGGAACTTTGAGTTCCATCAAATGGTATGGAAAAAAAGAGTGGAAAAAATATAGGAAATATATATAGATGCAAATCAACTTGGTTGGGGTTGGAAAATCTATACAAACAAACATAAATCGGAAATGCGCTGGCTAAGCTCTTTTAATGGAAAACGTTTTTAGTCGAGGGGAAAAATATTTAGCAAGGCTATTTTTTGTTTGCAAATAACACTTTAAATGACGAATATACATTTTCTTATATTTATTATAGGTTAGTTATTGGTTCCATAATATAATTACTTTATTAATCGTAAACATTTTAAAATGGTTTAATTCTTTCTTAATGAGTTTCAGCTTAAAATTGAGATGTACTTTTTGTGTAACGTATTTTTTATCGTTACAACGTAGAGCAGTAGAAACGTATTCTAATCGATAAATATCGCTCATTTATTGGTACGATAATACTAACTTTATTAATCTTTTATATTTCCATGAATTTTAGCGAAATATAGAGATGGTACCTTTTTGAAAAGCATTCTATCGGTACAGCTACAATTATGTTATTCTTTAATAAAATTAATAGTTTTATAATTATATCAAAAGTGATCAACATAATTTTGTGTAGATAAATTAATGTAATGAACCCTTTGTTTAGTTTTTAAAAGAAGAATTACCTAGTATTATTTTATACATCACTTAACTGATAGTAAATAAAATTCTCTTACTTTTTTACTATATATAGATTATATTCCTCAAAATCCAACAAATCTCTCTCCAATTTATAATGCTTAACCTCCCACCTACAAACTTTTGTATATAATTCAGAGTCCATTACCATTTCTACCTATACAGGTAACTTTCCCTACTATTAAAAGCCACAGAGACATCATATAGTTATTCAGAATTTGTATCTGCCCATATGGCCATATCGTTTTGTATTCCCCATCCTAATCATACACACACACCTATACCTGTGGAAGTATCTATATCTTTATAGTTCGTTTTTTTATACTTTTTTGTCACGTTCTGTGTCACACTTGTGAGTGCTTTTGTGTTTAGATTGTTTCATTGATGAGTTCACACAAAACAAAGACGAAAAAACACACAAAAAGCAATCGTGAATAACAGTGGAAACGACCTTCAAAACGTTGAAAATGTAAACTTGAAAAAAAGCGCGTCAACAAATTGCTGTTGAACTGAACAAATACGAGCAAACAAATAAAATAAAGGGAAAAAATAATAATAATACTTTTGAGTTTGAGTGTATTCATATTTGTTAGAAAACCGGATTTTGGCAACACCCACAACACTGGCAGAATAAACCACCGAGTTAGCCACTAAAACCCACTAAATATCGCCCCCACAGTGCCATAAAATTTGTTGCTATTATTATTTGTTTTTAATGATTAAAAAAAATAGAATCAAATGAACTTTCGAACGATTTGTTTCACTCATTCATGGTATATATAATTGATTATTTTCAGTTACTCCACTCATTAATCTCGCCCCCATATTATTATTATTAATTATATACTCGTATTTAGCTTTATAAACATTTAATTCAATTATCATAGCATTTAATTTTTGTATTTTAGATCGTTATATATCTCAAGTGTTTAAGAGTTATATATAACTTTTTAGAACAAATTGCTTGGCTCATTCATTGTTATTTTTTATTTGTTTGTTTTTAATTATAGTATACATAACTCTTTTTGCTTATCTGGCACTCTCTGGCTTTTTGTTTATCTGCGTGTGTAAATATAAAAAAAAAAATAATAACAACAACCGTAAAAAAAAGAAAGACAAAACGTGAGTTAAATATCTCTTAGCTCACCTGGCCAGGTTTACCGCAGAGATACGGCGGAAGCACACCCACAATGGCAGCTCTATTCATTCACAGGTAACCACTTCACCCTTTTTTAATTATATATATATATATATACTTTTCTATTTATTTATTTACTTTTATTTACTTGTATTTACTTTTTTTGTTGCTTCCAACGGATATGACATAGGCTAGGTTTTTCTATGATATTTTCTCTCACTGAAAACAGTTAGAGAAGTGTTTTTAGCAAGTTAGCCCTAATATGGTTTGCCATTTTGTGGGTGTAAAGTGTATAGTGTTTAATTCATTTGCGGTTTCAGATGACGCAGATCCCTTAAGTGGAACGAGCTCTATGCTCTATGGTATAAATGCAACAAAAAAACCCGATATGTGCCTCTGGAGTGCTAGCGAATCGCGGGACACGTACATCGGATGTACATCCATTGATGGATTCCATGGAGAGACCGCCCCGAAACCAAACCGGAAGTGAACGAAGCAACGAGCGAGCGAACGAACACATGCATGCAACGGAACACGACACATTTGCGCCCATTTTCCACTTTCCCCCCCCTCGGACATACATACAATATATCTATTTATATGGTTTTTCTTTACACTGACGATATTTTGAAAGTTTTCCAACGAAAATGGTTTATTTTAAATTTTAAAGAAGGAATTTTAGGTAATTTCTTAAGGTCTTCAAATGCATAAAATACTGAAAAATAAGCTTAAAGGTATTATCTAGTATTTTTAAATAATATACAGTACTATTTAAATTACAAAATATTTTTAAAAGGTTTAAAAATCTGTAAGTTGTTTAATATTAATATTTCTATAATATTTAAATAACATGTTTTAAGATTTTTCAAAGGGTTCCGAAATCTCCTCATGGTTAAATATGGATAAAGAATCTTTATAAAATTTACTTAGGTTTATAAAAATTACAAATACTTATAAATTATTTTTATAACGTTTAAATGACTCTTGATTGTTGAATATTATTAAGAAATATTTACTACAATTTTTAAATTATCTAAAATACAATTTAAATACTTTTAAAAGGGTTACATCTCCTGTATTTAAATTTGAAACATTTAATCCAGTTTCAAATGTAATCCTTTATGAAATTCCCTATAATTCTCTATATTAATTAATAATTTAAAATACTATTTAAAATACATTTTAAATTGGGTATAAGACTCCTCGTTTTAATGTTGTACTATTATTCTAGTGTCAAACTTAATGCTTCATAAACTTCCCTATAATTCCATATAGTGCACATTAGTAAGCACCAAAAATCAGAAATATTTTTCTAGAGCTTAAAAAAATTCCTTTCTGTTTTGGAATTTTCAAGCTATTTGATTTTACATATTTTTCCTGTTCACATTATAGCCATGCCTTTAGCCATATCCACACAAAATGCCTTTTTAATCACTCCGCTCGCCCATAAATTCTTTAGCCGCATTCCATGCAACCGTAGCTACATAAATGTTTTACTTTTATTTATTTTTTCTCTCAGTTAAAGTTTAGCAGATTGTTTGTCGTAGGGATTTCTTTCTTTTTTTTTTTTTTGAGCCATAAAACACGGGTGTGTTTAGAGTTTACAAAAGTTGAGGATATCGATATTACGCATACGCAATGTGCGCCTTGTTTACAAGAAGGGGGCCGCCTTTTTTTCTGGTGTGGCAAATGCATTCAGCCGGTCGTTGCACAATAAGCAGATACGTGAATACTATATATACACCCATATAGATATATGTTTATATATTGCTATATGTGTATACACATGGGCATGAATGAATGAATGAAAAAACCAGACCACGAGACAACGACATCCAACGCTTTGCAGTTCAATGATATTTGTCAATGAGTCAGTAGTCTTTTCCCTCCTTCTTATGAAGAACACTCTGAACATTGAATGTGGAAATGAGGAAGAGAATCGTAAAACATATCGACATAATGCGAGTCGCATTTGGGGTTCCCCCTACCCATCATATCCATTAGTCGGTATGCATATAGAGCATTTAGTATCTTTCAGCCATTGATGTGGGCGGGAGCGTGTGTTTTTTGTGTGTGTTCCGTGTGTGTATGAGTTTATTTTCCCCAACCCAATGTGGCCCCAATTTTGTTTACATTTTTCTCTCCACCCCCAAAAAGTTAAACTTTTTTATGTGCCTTTCACTGAGGGAAATATCAAAGTTTTAAAATCATAAAAGCAATTTTTAAAAGATTTTAAACATTATAAAGGTAAATAACAAATTTTTCAAAGCATAAAAACAATTTAAATATTTTAAAATTACTAAGATAAATAACAAAGTTTTGCAATAAAAGGAAACAATTTTTGAAAGATTTTTACTTTACTAAGGGAAATAGCAAAGTTCTTCAATCATAAAAATAATTTTAGAGATTTTACAAGCTACTTTAACCTGTAT